TTCTATAGAGACTAATCAATTTCTACAGAAATTAGTATTTTCTATAAAATTGTTTTATAGAGGAACTAGTTTCTATAGAATTCTATAACATACTATATATACATTTTTAATGTAATATCTATGTTTTTTTTAAATTTTTTTTGTTTCATTCAATATTGTATTGACACATTCGTGTCTGACCAGTATAGTCCTACCAATATGTTTTACATCTTGCATATTCTATAGAAATTCTATAGAATATTCTATACAAGTGTTTTGACAAGTTCTCTATAATAAAACTATAAAATTTCTATATTTATTCTATAAAAAATTATAGTCCTTACCTGTATTTTTGTAAATGTATTATAACAATTTTATAGTGATATTCTCTATAGGAACATATAAAATCTATATAGCGTATAACATATGAAATTTCAATATAAATTTATTTATTTATAGTATATTCTGTAGATCTGTTTAATATTCTAAACACAGTCCTTTTAAAAACTGTAACTTTTAATAGTCTATAGAAAATATATATAAAATATATATAAAAACTCTATGGAAACATTTATAATCTGTAAAATTGTTTCTCTATAGAAAGTATATATAAAATGAATACAAACGCTATGGAAGTGTTTATCTGTAAATGAAATATTAAAAATCATTTTACAAATTATATCTATACAAAAAATTATGTATTAATGTATATATAAAATCTGTTCAAACTCTATGAAAAATTTCAGGAACCGCTAATACGTAGCCTTAAGGGAACTTTATGTAGGGGTGGGGGGATAGAGGGGGGCGGGTCTGCCCCTAAACTTATCCCTCACATATTCACCTAACAACAATGCTTTATAGGTGACAGAAAAATGTTTTCAACAGCCTAACCTCTTTACTGTGATAGCCCACCTAACAACCAATTAATGTTAGTGTCGAATTGCACAAATCTGATTGGTCACTTCATCAAGTGACCAATCACCTGATTTGAATTGTGTAGTAATTATCGCCTATATATATACTGTGATATAAAAGGTACCGAGTGGAGCTTACCTTATCCAATGGGATATCTTGCTTCGAGGCGATAATACTCCAATATATACGAACACAGTAGCACCCACTGTGCAGGCAATTATACTCCTGTGTAGACTCGGACACCAGATACACATAAACAATCCTGTGATAGGGTTAATGATGCTCTCAGCATAGTCCAGTGTACGAGTGACGAGAATTCCCCAAGATCTCGGCGATCCCTCCTCTGCACACCTGAGGGCAGGATATGCAAATACACAGATGCCGGGGTTAGAGGTCGTTACCGTTTATCGGTCTCTCGAACAGACGGCGGCCGTCACTACACTCCTACCTTATTTGAAAAGAGTTGACATCATCCCGTTGATAACCAGTCGGAAAACGTATGGGCTCGCTGAGTCACATATTGTACAGGAAACCCGGTGAAATCCTCAACGGGGAATAATGCGAAGAGCAGTTCCCTCGGATGTTCACTATGCTGAATCATCCGGGTCTGAAAAATATAAAGTAAATTAATTTCCAGAACAGAATATAAAAACAAACATAAAACTTCTTTATGGCATGCTGCATCTTTATAGAAAAGGTCCCGTCCATTCTTCCATGTCAGATCCAGGATCTGACGGGGTTCACGGCCGAGCACCTCCCTAACTGCTGCCGCTGTTGCCCATAGAAGATGGGGGGGGGGGGAACCAACCCGATGTCCCGCTGGAGCGAAGTATGGTCCATCGGATTCCAGCAGCAACCGCCTGTCATCCACGGCTTCGATGTGCCTGCATGCCTGGCGTTGTTGGTTGTTGAACCCACTCACGGCCAACGAAAAGCTGAAAAGCGTGGCGGGAAAATGATGACGGAAGGCATCGGCAATGGCAACGGTGGAGGTGTAGTTGTGCAGCAGCAAGCGTTGCTCCCGAGGGACGCGGGACAGCCGTAGAATATCCAAAGCCCGAGAGTAACACTCCTCCGCCCTGGGATCACCGGCCATACCACGTAGGTGCAAGCACACTACCCGGTGCTGGTGATGGGCATAGCACCGGTTCAATACTCTTCGGAAGAGGTTTTCCTGGCGATACCAATCCGAGTGGGGGCCGGGTATGATCAAGGCCAATTTCCCCTAGGATCCTCACCTCCCTCATTCTTGATAAGGAGTTGGGCCGATCAAATTGGTCAGACGTCAAATCATGCTTCGGATGAATTCCAACGGCAACTTCCAGGTGTAGATCCCGGGTGATGAAATGCACTTCCCGTGACGTGGGGTAGGTCTGTGGGTGACAGTAAACTGTAACACCCCCAACCACAGACACGGGAAGGACGTCGCCCCTTGCTGGCTCCGCAGGCTCCAGGTCGCCAAGAGTGGCCCAAGAAGACACCCTCAGCCCCTGACGCAAACGGTCCAGGTGAAAATGGGTGTCATACGCCTTCGCCGCTGAGCCATTGGAAGAATGTGGCGTCCCACGTGATTGTGGAAGCGCCCTTCTCTTGGGCTTAAACTCCTTTTTCGGCTCCTTCTGACGAACCCTCTTTCAACGGGGTTGAGGGGGTTGAACAGCGTGTTGAACGGTAACCTTTCCAGTAGCCTCCCCCTTCGCTCGCTGAAAGATAGTCCGGAGGACATCCGGCTCGACGCGGACGGCAATAGCCGCCAAACATCGCCAGTGGATCAGTGATTCAGGGTGATTAGCAGGATTAACTGTAAACACCCCGGGCTCTTCCCCACCCATCTCCGCACAAATCATTTGCATAGCTCGGTAGGTGCGATGATCTATGGAAAACTTAACCCCTGACTCTCCCATCCCTCTCTCTCGGTTGAGGCGAATCATGAGTTCGTGTAAGGTGGCTTCTTCACCTATACACGCTACAGCCAGTTGTCTCAAAACGTCGAGCTGTCGTTGGGCTTGGCGTCGGGAACTACGACCCAAAGGTTTCAGGTTTTGTGGTACATGTTTGCCCATAACATGCACCCTCATGTTGACAACCCTCCTGATATTACACCCCGGCCAAACGCAAGCATTCTCCGGAGTCAGTGATGGGCGTTTTCCTGCTCCGGATTGGAATGGTTCAGCTGGGGATAGAGTTGGTTCCGCTGGATGAATGTCCGCCTCGGGCTCTGTTGACGGCGACTCTGCTGGCGGCTACGGCTCTGCGGGCGGGAGTGATTCCAGTGGTGGCGGGTGAGGTGAATCGGTGAAGAGGTTGTTCTCCTCAGCCACACTAAGTTGAACGTCCATCTCATCAGCGGACGGCAGTTGATCTTGCTTGTCCATTTCTGCGAGAGTAAGGAAATACAATACATGTGGTTAGAAATGGACATGATATTAACCAGGGAACTTGAATTAGTTATTAACACTACACGTCATTGAATAGTCAACTGGCCAGGGTTTCTACACTGGGCACACTTATACAAATCAATGTCCAGGGCATCCGATGGCGAGATGTTTACACATGAGCCATGATACCAGACATCACAATAATCACACTGAATCATAAAGGCGCCTGCCCAGGGTTTGTGACAACTGCAATACAGCGTTACTGGGGCATCATCCGCATTATCTGTAGGTAAAGAGGAAGGTGGTAAAACATAGTTAATCAACCATTTGGGAAGCTGCCTATCAAGGCAAGGCTTCAACTTATCATGAATGAGGATTATCACTTTATTCCTCAATTGTAACCTGAGTAAACACGGAGTTATGACGTCTATTATAACCCTCGGACCAATCCTGATATGTAGTCCCCAACTTCCTGAGCTTTCCCCGACTGGCACTGGGCAAACATCAAATCAGCGGGAAGATTAATTTCCCGGCCTAGCATCAGCATGTTCGGAGTAAACCCTGTAGACCTGTTTATTGTGGCGCGTAATGCATCAGCAAGTTGTGGAAGATGGACATCCCAGTCTTTCTGTCTCTTGCCGACATAACATCTTACCGCATCCATCAACGTACAATTAAACCGTTCTACTTGACCGTTGGCTGACGGCCGTAGCTGGTAGTACGGGTCTTGTGGATCTGTAAAACTTGACATAAAGAGTTACACAATTCACTTTCAAAATTCCTCCCCTGATCAGAGTGTACTGGAAGGGAACCCCAAAGCGGGAGAAGAAATCCCCCACCAATGCTCTCGCAGTCACCTCGGCGGTTTGGGAGGGAACGGCACTGATCTCAACCCATTTCGTAATTGATCAACCATCATTAATATGTATATATTGCCCTGTTCAGTTTTGGGTAGGGGGCCCAGGAAATCTATGTGCACCCGCTCCATCGGTATCCCAGAATGAAACTCGGTCATCGGATATTTACCCTTGCGAATGGATTTCTTGCTACGATTACAAATTTCACAAGTTAACACATATCTTTCCACATCCAATTACCCATACCGTGCCAGCAGAACTTCAATCTGAATTTTGTTCTCGCTATTCCCTGGTGCCCCGCTGACGGTAGGTCATGATGTAGCCGTATGGCTTCCATTTGCCACTCCCTGGGTAGTACTAAGAGGAGCCCAGTAGCGTTCTTCTGTTGTATGAACAGGATTCCGTCATCGGTTAATTGTAGACGGTCTTTGTTCAACCAAAGAAATTTGGTTGAAGCGCTGGAAATAAAGAGCGTCTTTTCTAATGGTTCGCCGTTCTTCAATTCTTCAGTCTAGGATGGGTGCAAGGCCAGGATCGTTTTTCTGGCCTTGTTTTATTTCATTCAAAGAGTAGCCCCAGCAAGAAGCTTTAGCATCTGGTTGTACAGCATATACTCTGGATCCGTTATCCTGTAAGATAGAAATTGTATTATTTTTACCCTGGGTGTCCGGCCTAATTATTTCAATAGTCACCTGGCCCCCGGGTTCCCATGGAATATCATCAGACCCCTTGGCTGACCTGATCTGACCCACATGAGCGATAGGCACTACATCATCCACTACTTCCCTGAAAGTAGCCCCGCCTCTCATGTGCTCGTCGACAATACGAACACCCCCCACAAGGTAGATCTATAAGTGGGGTGGCGCCCCACTTATAACCGAAACTTATCTGATGCGTCAACGTCTAAGATGAATTCATCTTCTCCGTTTGGAAATGCGAGTACCGGGGGTTGCGTTAATGCGGCTTTGAGTAGTTGAAAAGCTCGCTGCTGTTGCTCTCCCCAGTCGAAGTCACTGTCCTTACAGGTAAGACGATACAATGGTGCTGCAATATCAGCGAAATTGCTGATGAATTCCCTATGGTAGTTGGTTAATCCCAAGAATTGTTGCAGCTCTTTCACGTTCTTTGGAGTAGGCCATTCTTGGACGGTTTGAACATCGGTATCGGGAACTGATAACGTGTCGTCGCCCACGATACGTCCCAAAAACTCAACCATCTTCTAAAAGAAAACACACTTTTTAGGTTTAAGCTTTAGGTTACTCTGACGAAACCTTTCAAGAACGCATGCTAAGTTATTTAAATGGTCTTCGAATGTCTTACCCAATACCACAATATCATCTAGAAATGCCAGTACCGTATTCCAAGTGAGTCCCCTCTGCACTAAACCCATAGCCCTGGAGAAGGTTGCGGGGCAATTGGAGAGACCAAATGGCATCTTGATGAATTCATACAGCCCATGTTTGGTAACAAAAGCTGTCTTTTTACGGTCCTGGTCGTTCATCTTGATTTGCCAGTACCCCCAGATAGCGTCTAACTTGGAGAACCAAATATTACCCGAGAGTGTATCAAGGCAATCCCTGACTAACGGTAAAGGGTAAGCATTTTTAACCGTCACGTTGTTGAGTGCACGATAGTCGATACAAAAACGTACCGACCCGTCACGTTTACGTACTAAAACTGGGGGTGATGCCCACTCAAAAACAGAAGGTTGGATGACTCCCGCTTCCAGCATCTTATTGATTTCTTTCTCCTCCTCACCAGCGAAACGTAACGGCGTTGGCCGAAGATGTTGTTTAATAGGAGGAGCATCCCCAGTATCAATTCGGTGCTCGATCTCTGCGAAGGTGCCAATATCAAACTGATGTGCTGAACGAGTAATGCAGTGAGTGCTTGGAACTCTGAGTCTGAAAGAGAAGATTTAAAAACATTTAACATTCCAATCAGATGTTCAGGTACCCCAGGTGTAATTCCCTCCCCCATGGCAACTTCGTCGTCATCCCCAGTGACTGAACTTATTCTTGGTGACTCGGTGTTCATCACGTCGAATTGCTCGGTCTCCATGGCTATACCTATTTTCCTACCCCTCTTCATGGTTACATAATTATCGGACATATTCACTACACAAATGCATGGTGTATCAATGCAGTGGTGCAGCGTAGCTGAAATCGCTACCTTCCTGATAGGGTCCGGTTCTATGAAGAAATCAGGCATAGGTAAACTATCATTAATTAAATGACATTTAACATGTGCAGCACAATGAGGAGGTATTACTCTACGTTTGGCAACAAATACTCGGGCTACTCTCGAGTCAGGTGTCGCCTCCCCTCTAAGAGATATGGTGCTGTCACAAATAGTTAATAGTAGCTTCCCGAAGTCAATTACCGCTTTGTTGGGATGGAGGAAATCCCCACCCAATAACATCTCATCATTTATAGGAGCTACATAGAAAAATCTCCTATACTCGTTTAAACCTAAACGAAAGTTAACGGGGCCCACCTTATAGCCAGACATGGATGTTCCCCTCCTAGCTACGGTAAAGGATAATTTGGCTACAATAGGTGGTGCTGGTTTAAGGCTAGAGTATACCCTATCAGAGAGGATGGTATAATCGGCTGCGGTATTTACAACTACATTAATTTTTACATTGTTGACTAGAGCAGTTGCATGCAGCGCGTTTTCGGACTTTACTCTGCTGATAGTTATTTCTTCTGTTGTCGTTGTCATTGCCGTTGTTGACTCGTTACTGTCCCCCGGTTTAATAGAATGGGAGGCAGTAAGTGAATCAGAATTGATTGACGTCGTCACAGTTTCTTGACATGTATTCTGTGGACTGGCAGCATTGCTAGGCCCACCCGGAACAAGATGTATATTTTGTGGACTAACGGTGTTGCTAGGCCCACCAGGATCAGAAGAAAGCTGTATCGTGCATGATTTTCTGGTCTTCTTGTTCTTGTTGGCCGCTACAATGAGGATGGTCGGCTAACTGGCCATGGCTTCCGACCCCTACTCGTTTAAAGGTTCCTCACCCTGAGCGCCAACCTGCCTGATTTGTTTAGATAAAGTTCCCAACTTCGGGCAGTCTTTACGCCAATGTCCCGCCTGGTGACATTCATAGCACCGATCCCCCGCGGTTTTAGCATTTCCAACACCGCATCAAGCTTCTGGTTAAACACCGCATCAAGCTTCTGGTTAACAGCCACCATCTGATCTTCGAGGGCGGTCAATCTACTATCAGAACTTGATTGTGATGGAGATGGTTTTCGGCTAGTAGGGACCGATTTGCTAGCTGGTGTAACAGCAGTTTGCTTTTCATGGGTAGAAGATCGAGGATAGCTTGATTTACCATCCCAGTTGTAACGTTTACCCACTTGTCTACATTCCGCAGTCTCGATATCGTCACTATCTTCATCCTCATCCTCTTCCTCGGAGTAAGCAGGAGGTGTTGATGAACGATGATGGACATGGGTAGCAGACCTGATCAGGGGTTTTCCAATATCTCGAGATCTGCTCCCTCTCTTAGTGCCATACAATCCTCAGAGACTGTCGTACTGTTCATACTCGGTCAGAGCATCTGCCTGAGTGGTAACATGCTTATGGAGAACATATCTCCCGGCCTCTGCATCCCTGCAACCAAGACAGAACCCTATCGCAGCTTGCTGACGGATCCAGGCCCTTGGCAGATCATTATATGCTTTTCGGGTCATAGTCATAACTCGATCAGCCTACTCATCAATGGATTCGTCCTCACGTTGAGTGGCGGCTTCCAATCGAGCTTGCAGGACGGCAGGCAAATCTTCCTCCCCGAAACGTTTATCAAAGGCCTTCAAGATCTTTTGAAGGTGATCTTACGGTCCATTTCTAGGAGATTCACATAGAAATCGGCCGCAGACCCCTCCACACACCAACAAAGAGTTGCAGTTTTAGCTTTCGGTGTTAGCTCATACTCTTCTGTAAAGGCTAGAAAACGTTTTTTAAAGAAAGACCAGCTTTCCTTGCCTTTAAATACTAAGTTCTTGGGGATGTCCCTCGGCTTGAGAGTTCTTAACCCAGGTCTATGATAATCCTCCCGTTGTCGTTCTGATCTATAGTAATCATCCCACCGATGATCGGGTCCAAGATAAGCAACCTGTCGATAATCGGGTCTGGGATAATCCTCCCGTTGATGATGATATCTATAATGATCTCCTCGTTGTTGATCAAGTCGGGGATAACTCTCTCGACGCTGATCAGCTCTGACGTGATCCAGGAAACCTCGCTGATGTCGCAAGATCTCACTGCTATCGTCCTCATCATCACTTTCCTCACTCCCACAGACACTCTCTTCCTCACTCTCACTCTCAGAGTACTCAACAGGGCGCGGATTCGCCTGGATTTAACCTTAGATGATGATTTACTCGTTCGAGATGGTGAACCATGACACGCAACCAGGATGGGATCCGATCTACTCAGGGCAGGAGTTGGAGACAACCAATTCCCGGAATGAGACGGTATATCCTGGTGGTGACGGGGTGGGTTAGTAAGAGGAGTTGATGGTAACTGATGACTACAGGGAACAGCAGCCAGGTTCTTATTATCAATCAGGGGTGAGACCGATTGGATCATCGAACCAACCCCCACTTCCCCCAAAAGAGGATTAGGCGTGAAGTCTACATACTTCTCCAAATTAGATCTACTAACCCCCTTAATAGCATCCAAACTATCTGGCATTAAGTTACCATGACGTGTCCTCCAACGGATTATCTGTTGTGCACGTTTTTTCTTAATATGTGGGAGTTCATACAGATCCCTCTCGTCACAAAAATTTATGTTTACAGGAAAGTTAACCTTCGACATTGTAAATGGGAAAGATCACACGTACACGTATAGGTCAAAGGTTAAATAGGCTAAAATTGAAAATAAGTGGGTTAGCAATGATAAAATTATACAATAGATAAACAAATCAATGCTTCACAAATATCAATTTAAAACCTGCAATCCAAAGCAATCTGGTAAAAAATGTAAAAATAGATATGCAAGTATAAATGTGAATACAAATATAAAATATCTAAAATAACACGTATCACACAAGCTACAATGAAACGAAAACCTGTGGATAAAACCAGAATGATTAACCTGTATGCAAATGAGTTAGTGGAGGTATGCACTAAGCTCCGCACAATAAAACAACACACACGGCCTAGGGTAATATCTAGACGACGTGTTAACATAATATTCTTCAACAAAACAGAGTTTAAAATACCTAACTATCTCCTAGCTAAATGTTTTAATCCTAATCTATACGTAATCTAATAGTCGTGGGAGAATTCTATCTATGCACGAGACGCGTGTCTTGCACACTTCTTCCCGCCTACGCTATAAGGCATTTTTCGTTTTGACTACGCGGCCAGTCTACTACGAACTAATGGACCGTGACGGCAACGCCAAGACACTGTTCGCGTACTACACCAAGAGCTGTTTTCGTTTTTTTTAAGGCGACTACGACGACGTAGCACACGTACGTAGGCCGGAGCGGAGTTATTCGACCATTGTTTTATTACCGGAGAACAATGTTCCCTTGTTTTATATTTGAAAAAGGAAATGTGAAAAAAACTTTAGTCAAATACTGTATACAAAATAAAAAGTTTCCAGAAAACACTGAGTGACGTTTCGCTGTTGGCTGGGATCTACCTACCTGGCTAGGCCTAGCCCAGCCTAGGTTTCAAAAGAGTCGTAAACCGGGAGAAGAGGGGTGTCAGGTCTGCTCAGGCAATTTGCCAAATGGAACGATGATGTACAAATAAATAACAATTTTAAACAGAGGTATAGCAAGGCTTGATCCACGATATCAAGGGTGGATGCCCTAGCTAGCTAGCGGCAAGAGAATGTGTTTTCTCACCCGATGATCACCCTGACAAGGCTAGGCTAGCCTAGGCCTAAGCCTAAGGCCCTTTTTTCACACATCCCCTGATTTACCTAATTTTATGGTGACTATTCATTCCTCATTTATTGCATGTGTATAAATAGGCCTTCATAAAACATTTAATTACTCACTTGTTTTAATAATTAATTCATTATTAAACGAACAATGCTCGATCGCGGATGCGATGAAAATTGCAACCCCCAACTAAAAAGTTACCAGCAGTTTACCAAACAATCCGGTGATCTGATTGGTCAATATTAGGGTAGTCGCCACTACGCCAAATTCAGAAATTGGGGTTGTCGCGGAAGCTGTCACAA